GAGCAAATTGTTGAGTTTATAACTGGACATCAAATATGCTTGCCACACTTCACGCACACACACGCACAGAGAGAGAGAGACACATATACACACATATAGTAATGCCTTAGCAGCTGCTCCGACTTTTTTTTTTTTTTTCATTTCCTTTCCATTTAGCTGGAGCATCGCAAAACTTGACGGCAAATAATGCAACAAAGTTTATGGTTAGACTGGAGCAGAGTGCTGTGGGGATTGCAGCGGGTGGGGGGTGTTAGGGACAAGGCCCTTTGGTTTTTTGCTGCTGCTATACGGCAATCCTTTAATTCGAACAAATTAAAGTGGACTTAAGCGGATTGACTGCAGCTGAACTAGTCGAGCCAAATGAATGCCATGCAGCTATTAGATTCTCTGTCGGAATTAAGTTTACACGTGGTCTAGTTTTGTGGTTTATGGAAATGTGAGTAGAATCGGAGTGACTTAAATTGTTAAAGGAAAAGCTTATCATTGCCTGGGATTCAGCTATTATGTAAACAGCTGTCAACAATTATATCTCAGGGATTAATCATATCAATCTGAGCTTTGACTTGGGATTTCCGACAATCTAAAAGTCACTTAAGCTCAGTTTACTTTCTTTCTATCTGAAAACTTTTCTTGTACAATTTATTTCATATTCACATCATTCACGTGAAAGAGTCTTAAATATTTGCCCAATTTATTGACGTTTATGCATTTATTAGTTTTATGAGCTCCATCGCAAGTTCCAACACTTTCAGTCTCATCGAAATTCATAAGCTGCATTCGATGCACTTTTCAACTGGCTTATCATGGGCACTTCAGCAAAAGCATTAAAGCAACTTTTAGCTGCTGCCAAACTGTCGGGGCCGGCAAGGACAATCTCTAGCCATATCATGGCCAGCGGGCTGAGTGCAGAAATTGGCCTCATGCAGCTGGACTCAGCACCTGCAATTGGAATGCCCACGGGGATCTGCGGATAATTTGAACTAACAGAGCAGCTCCCGTCACAGTTCGCTTTGGGTAGCGCCTGTGGAGCTGGGGCTAGAGCAGGCACAGCCAGAATTGAGTGGGTCAACACGTTGGCTGCCAGGCTTATTCCATTTTTAGCTGGTTCTCGGTTGCCCACAAGTTACGTGCTTTAAATTTTGTTGTTTTCTTTTCTTTTATTTTATTTTTTTCAGTTTTTTGCTTTTTGTTTTCTGGTCTTTTTATTTTTGCCGCTGGCCATGAAACAATTTTTGAGTGGCGTCTGGTGGCCACGTGCCCCACAAAGTATGCAACACATTATTTGCTTTGTATTAGTGCATGTCCTTGCGTGTGCGTGTCACTCTCCTCATATAAATTAGCGGCCATGAAGAAATTGCAATATTTATGAGTCTCTCAGGAGCTGCTCAGCGACTAAGAGAGTGGGAGGGGGATGCAGAGGCAGAGGTAGAAGGAGAGACGGAGAGGGCACGCGTTCAAATTGCTTGAATTTCGTCTTTTTTTTTTTTTTTTTTTTTTTTGTTGAATGAGCTTGAAATAAATGGCTGGCGGGTATTTTGGGCAAAAAAAAACTCACTTTTGTGTATGTGTATTTGTGTATGTGTATAAAGGCCACTGTGCTGGCTCTTTGGCCTGTGGCTTTGCTCGTTATGGCCTGTTAAGCATCGCTGGATTGAGCTGACTGCGAGATCATGTTTACATGGACTCGTGTGTGTGTGTGTGTGTCTGCTTCATTTTTTAGTCCGTGTGCCGCTACTTCTCACTCGTGTACTCTCCGTTTTTTTTGGCATTAATTGAAAGCCGTATTCTGAGCAAAAGTTTTCACAGTTGACATTTCTTTGTCGACTGCTGAGACTTGTTCAAAAGTTCATACAGTTTGCTGTTAGTATAATTATATTTAAAATATAATTAAATAAAATAATGTACTTAAATAATGATAATATTGTATTAAAAAATATATATTTCATATAAGTTATATCATTATTTCTTGAGTGAAAATCTGTATAAATTCATTTCACATTTTGGGGCTTTAATTTCTCTTCTACTACATTTTCTGATACTTTGCCTAATGGCATTAGCGCAGCTTGGCTCTTTAACTTTGTTGGGCCGTCAATTAGACGACTTATAATATATATACATTGGCCTTGTAGTCGGTGTAGCTAACAAGGGAGGACTTAACAACTCCCTAACAATTTGCCAGCACCCTCACATCATATACATACACACATCTACATTAATTTCCATTAGCGCTGCTCACGCACGGCCAAGAAAAAGGTTTACGACGCTTACGTTTTATGCCCCGAAAAAAGAATAGAAATCGTCCCGAATATTCAGACCCACAAGTATCTTGTTGGACTTGATAACCAGCAACAAAGACACACACACAGACACAGTCGCACACTCGCACACACACACACACGCTGGCCCAGTCAAGTGGCCGTCTAGCAAATCTAATTAAGCAGCCATGGAGCTATTCTCTGCCATGTCGAGGCATTAACGCCAAGGACCATAAAATGGCGCCCAGCGTATGACAGTCAGACGCATCGTGGTTGGGGCTCAATTGGCTTTTCTTCATTAGGCTGAGAGATTTTATGAACGGCCATACAATATGCACTTGAACGTTTCAAATTTAATGCCGCACAAAGTTTCGGGGCTGGCAGACACATACGCATATTACGTATACCACATGTTGTGCACAACAAGTTCAACTCATTAAGATTTCAGCTCTCGCAATCCAGCAGCGCGAATGCAATAAAATTCTCAACGCTTAACGCTACTTTTTCGCAACGTTTTTTTGTGGCTTTCATTTATTTTTTGTTGGCTGCTCGCTAAATGAAAAAACGGAAGCAGCATAAATTTTAATTGGATTTCCGCTGGGTGGCAACGGCGAGGGAGAGGCTAAAAATCCTCATCTCATTATGAGTTTTGAGCTGCACTGCATGTGTTTTGTTACTCGTTGCCAGATTCCCTCTTCCTGCTCCTCCTCCTCTCCTTCGTCATTTGCTGGTTTTGCGAAACATGCTTTCCATTATAACAAATGTGATTTTGTTTCATTCTTTAACTGGGCAACATAAAAAAGTTGAAATTGCTTTAGATTCTCACGAGTCTCTTGCATTAGCTATTGTTTCGCATGATATTTGAATTTTGGTTTTTTTTTTGTTCAGCCAAAAATTTTAAGGATTTATTTGCACTTGGCTTCAATATATATCATTTAATTTTCTCTTCTCTCATATTTGACTTTCCCCATTAAAATTGATGGACATTTGCGCTCTTGCTTAGAAACTTTCGCACTTAATTAGACGCATACAAGTTTTTAAATACTCGTGCAACTCAAATGGAAATTTATGCATACATTGTTCGCCCGCTCTTGTTATGCTGGGGACGACACATCAAATATGTCACATGCGAAGTAATTTGATTAGTAACAGCTGCTCCCCAATGGCTCTGCACAATTTTTGAGCTAAAACTATGTGAAAAAAAAAAAAAAAAAAAAATAGCAACAACGCAAAAAGCTACATAATTCAATTTATTTGAACAAATTGACTGCCAGAAACGAGCCCGAAAGTTCGGGTCCCACAAGGCCCAGCAAATGAGAATGGAAGTGAGTGTAACTGTGTATGTGTGTGTGTGTGATAGTGACTGTGGGTGTGGCTTATGCAAATTCAGAAATCGCTTAGGAGACCACTTTTTGTGGGTGTCAGAGTGAAATTGGCTTTTGAATAATTGCTGTGGCAGGCGAGCTCTGTAAATCAGATCAAAGTGCCAAAAAGAGCCAGAGCAGAGGCCCGTGGGATATTCTAGAGATAGTTGGAGCGCTCACCAAGAAATTGAGCTACACATTTGTGTGTTATCTGATAGTCTCAAGAAGTTGGCCAAAAAACAAATACAACAACAGTTCAACAGGAAAGCTTCGTTAAATGCTGCAAGTTAACAGCAAAACCTTGCTCGTGCGAGAATTCAGCGGGAACTAGTCGAGGCTAGGCGCGAATGCCAACAAATCAGTTGACCTTTACATTATTGTAAGTAAACAACAACAAAAACAAACAGAGGAAGAACAATTGAGACAATACCTACAACAAGGACGGCATTGTCTGTAGACTTCGAAAAAAAAAAATAAACACGAGGAACAGCAGCAAAGTTTGCGTGTCTGTGTGCTGAATAAATTATGCACGCACAACAACAACGACAACAACAACAGGGACAATAATATCAGCAACAACAGCAGCAACACATTAATAGCAACAATAGCAGCAACAATATGGCCCAAGCAGGGAAAGGTTAAACCCGACAAGCACAGACAGTTGGAAAGAAAACAGCCAACACACAGTATATACTAAATGTCAAGGCCTTCAAATACCCTGTACTCATGCTCATTATTTATAACTTGAATATATGTATATATATGGATAGTTGGCCAAATTAACAGATAGAACAATCCCAACGGCTTGGTCGTATCATTGATAGGCTATATAATTCCAACTTTAAATTTACTATAGTTTTGTGAATATATTTTTAGTGTCTTTTAATGTAAATTATAGCAATAATTATTAATGAAATTCTTTTTTTTTTTTTTTTTTAAATATAAATTCCTTTTTTTTCGCAACTAAACGAAAAACGGATATTTTTATGAACAGCATTAAATGTCATTTTTACACTACCTTGCTCTGCTTGCTTCTGAAACTGAACTGAACTTTGCTTTCAGTTCAAAATGTTATTAATTATATTTTATTTAAATATAAATTCTAATTATATAAAATTATGGTGCAATTATGGCCTATTTAATAAGATTTATGAACTTTGAAGTCAAAGCTCAAGGCAAGCTTATTTCTTTTAGATATATATTTTTTACATAAATAAATATAATACATATAATATGTATAGATCTATTTCAATTTTCAATTTCAATTTATAGATTTAATTTGTAATGTTCTAGACCCCTAGAAAAAATACTCAAGACGAATTGAGTACTGTAGTATGAGAGCTCTTAAAAGTTGCACATATATTTTTAATATACCCTCTAATTTTGTTGTTCACATTAATTTTAATTTATTTATACTTATACCCGTTTTGATTTAGCTTTGCAGTTGTGTTGATAACTCTCCCGCAGACGTAAGCTACATGGCACCTACCTTAACCTTCATCACACTATTTACAGGGTATGCACACAGACTGTATGCCAGCCACATGCATACGTTTGGGCACTGTCACGTCGGTCGTTACACCCATCCTGCACACATTCACACGCACACGCACACACACATTCAGACATCCGCAATGTCCACATGGCGCGGCTCTAACAAAAGGCAGTTAGTTTTTGACTTTTGCCTGGCGCATTTGGTTTTTTGCCTTTTGGATTTTCCTTGCTGTGCTGCTGTTAACCTTTTTTGTTGGCGGGTGTTATTCGGCATGGGCGCCTGCACGGAGGAGGCGTGTTGCCGCCAACGTCACGCTGTCTGGCTCTGTCTCTGGGTTCTTTGCTGGTCTCTTTCTCTCTCTTTTCTTCATTTTTTCTGTTGCTCTTTCGGGCTTTTGGCATTTCGTGGGCGGCTTATAAATTATGAACTAAATTCCGGCAATGGGAGTCTTTCAGACACTCCACGCACAGCCCAACCTGCTGCCAACTTTCACAACATAATTGCTTGTCTGCAAAGTGTGAGAGTGTGAGTGCGTGCGTGTGTGTGTGTGTGCGTGGTAGTTGTAAATGTTGAATGTAATGCCTGCTACTTCAAGGGTAGACTAAGTGCTTGTGGCAGATGCCTAATGCAAACAGACTCGAAGAGCACTTTCTTAGTTTGCGTAATGCTTCGGTTAACATATTACGACATCAACTTCAAATCGACAACTCACCTGCAATGAGATGGAAAAATAAATCACATTAATATCAATTTTGTGATTTGCCTTATATATATGTATATATATTTGGTTTGCATTTGTAATGAGAGTTATCTATTCTTGTTTTCTGCTGCTCATTCTCTCGAGCCCAGCCGAGAAGATGTCAGCTACACTGTCAAACACAATCAGTGTCGATTGCAACAGCAGCAGATGCCCGATAAGTGCATTGGAATAACAATGAGCAGTTTAATTTAATATGGTAAAGGCATTGGCAGCTCTTACACTGGACAAAATATTTGTTAGGATTAACATTGCATTCGATTTAAAGAGAAGATAATAAATAGATCTGCAAAATAATTTCAAATTTGAATTAGAGCTATATGTAAGCATAAATTAATTGAAATAAATCCCCTTTGCACAATATTTCTCTCAGTGTAGACGCACAAAACTCAGTCCTTCATCATGTCCGCTCTATGCACTGTGATGTTTATCGTTAAATTCAATTTGCAATTTATAAGATTTTTCAAGCAACGCTTGCTATCAGCAAACACCCAACCCCAAACTCCCACACACACACACACACACATGCACTCACTAACCAACACCGTACGCACAGTCCACACAGATATGCCATAAATTGTGGAAGGCAATGGGCAAATGCCAGCAGCGCATTCCATGCGAATGCAACACAATGAGGGTATTGTCGTTTGGCTTGGGTTCCATATCAAGCATTGTTCACTGAAGTGGAATATATATCTGTATGTGTATGTGAGCGTGTGTGTGTGTGTTTGTGTATGTGTAAGCTGTCGCATTGCTTGGTCAACTGCCAATGGCATGTCGAAATGCAAAAGGTAAGCGAACAACCAGAGCTTTAACCCAGCTAACCAAGACGAGCATTATCTAATCACACATTCTCTACTCTTCTTTGTCTCTGTCTGAAAATTTGGAGTATTTTGCTCGTTATTTTTCCATATCACATAATATGCTATAATGATTCGTCATGTCAGCTCCAGTGGGCAATAGTTTATGCTGATCTCCCATGTAGTTCAGAGAAATGAAAAAAAAAATATATGTAAGCTGAGTGGGGCAGAGGAAGCCAAATGCTAATGCATTATTGTGTTTCCTCAATTTGTCTGTCAAGGGAATTGTACAATGCCAATTCGAATAGCTGCTGTCCTCAGCTGCACCGGCGTAGGGATTTGCATTGCCTTGGCATAAGCACATGTCCTGCCGACATATAGTATATGTATGTAAATATATATATATATTTCCTCTTTGACCTGTTTCGCTTTTGGTTTCACTCTCAGACTTTATTTGCCTGGACAGTTCAATTGATTTGCGAATTTGTCTCTGCTACGGCAAATGTCTTTCCCTTAACGTTGTTTGCAATGCACTTTTATTTTATTGTTGAATGGAAAACATCGAAAACAGAAGTACAGGAGTGCATATTTATAAATTATATAAATTAATATGTTTATACTTATATTTATATATAAGTTTAAGTATATCTATTTTACATGAGATGTGTCGTAAAAATACATATTTAAGTTTATAATTATTTTAAAGCTAATAAACAATTTTGTTTTTAAATTAATTCAATTTACTATAAAATTAGACAAAATTTAGGATATTTACTGCATTTCATTTTTAAGCGAATGATTTAATTTATTAAATTGCTTAAATAAGGTAAAATTTACAATGTTTACTTCGCTACTCGAAACCACTTTATGGCTGGCCATTAAAACTTTTTGTCATTAAAACGATGTATCCAAAAATTCGTAAACGCACTCGGGTCTAATGCATTTTGCTAGCAGCTTACGGCCGCAGCTCGTGTGTGCATTGTGCTGCGTGCTTATGAGCTTTTGCTACTTAGTTAAACAATTTGGTTAAAAGTTTGCGGGGCACACACACACGCACACACGGACCACAGACACTACCGTCTAACTCTAGTTGCAGCTGTTGAAACGTGCGTACAGCAGCAGAAGAAGGAGCAGCAGGAGCAGCAGGAGCAGCACCAGTCAAATGGTTAAGTGCTGGCTGGCGAATCCCCAAAGCAATGCTGAAGACACGTGCCGCATTCCGCTGTAGAATTGTAAGCTTTAGCAGAGGGCGTGGCCAGCAGGTGGGCGGCACAGCGGCAACATAATTGCGTCAAAAAGTCAGTTAATAAGGCAGCGGAAAACAAACTGCGGCGCGTGGCCAAATTAAATTTGGCGCTGCGTAGCTAAATACACTTTTTCCGCAGCTTCTTTTCAGTTTACAGCTCCTTTGGCAATTAGCTGCCGAAAAAGTAATAAGGTGTACACACACACGCACGCACACACACACGTAGCGCTGTATGCTATATATTATTTAAGACACATTCCAGCCAGTTGGCGGCAATTGGCTAATTACCTCCCACAAAACACGAATGGGCGTGGCGTGTTGCTAATTAAGCGTGAATTTATGCATACGCATGTTGCGTATACGCCTCGACTGCCCCGCCCACCTTGCAACAGTTTAAAGCATTCAAGCACATTCATTCACATCTGCATATATGCAAGTGCACATATACATATACATATACAGATACAGATACAGATACATATATGCCTGCACATTCACATACACGACAATATTATTCATGGCTTGCCAATTAAGTGGTATGAGCGAGGAGGAGCAGGAGGAGGAGGGGACGACAACAATGAATTTGAATGCTGTGAAATCAAGAGCAGAATTGAGGCAATCTGTACAATTATCTGGTATATGCTACATATACATTGGGTTAGCAATAACAATAGCAATTGATTATTATATTAAACATTTAGCAATAATTGGGAATTATTGAATTAATTCTTCCATATATGAAGAATCCTCTTTTCAGTTTATTGTATTACATTCATAATCTTGTTATTGATATCTTAATCAGCTGCTTAAATGTAATTATCCGAAAGGGGATTATTTATAAAATGAAGTTCGATGACGAAGCCAAATAATTGGCTAAGATATATAAAATACAGCCATAAAATATTTATAGGTAGCATTTGCATCAACTCAATTCCCACCCAGCTTATAGGGTATCTAGTAGTCGCAGCAAGTCTTTGACTCCACATTTATTATTCGCAGTCGAGCGGTTAAGCAGCTGTTTTTGTGGCCATTAAGTTTTATTTATGCGCAACGAAAAGTAGGCAGCATTTTTTGTCATTTTGAATGCCTAATTGCGCATCTAATTGTAAAGCAAAAAGAGAGACAGAAAGAGAGAGAGATAGGGAGAGATGGATATGCTAATGTGCACATAATTGTATACAAGTGCATGTGAAATGTGTCACATAATTTGAGAGCTTAAAGTAAATTTTATACACCTACTTACGATAAACACTCCAATTGCTTATCTTATGGCAGCATTATTTTTGGAGGGTCTTGAGGCAGTCTTCAGGTAGTAAAAGCAGTAAATATATTATTATTGCAGCAGCCATAAAAATGGCTCATTTGTTTGTGTACGGAATAAACATTTGGATAAATAAATACACACACAATTGAATGTCGATGAGTAGAAGACTAAATATCTTGGAAGTGTATTAAATATATATACCAATTAAATGGATTACCAAATGACTTTGTGTACACCTAGACCAATTCACCTTCAGGTGTTAGGTCAATCTGGCTGGCCTATTACGTAACATTCTAGAATCTGTACACACTTCACACTTAGCTATAAACCAAATCCAGTTAATGAAATCTGATCTATCCACACTTAAAGGCAAGAGCCAGGCAGAGGGACGGGCGAGCGAGTTGCTGCCCAAACACAGCTGTTGCAGTGCCAAGCGACTTGTAAAACAATACAATTAATAATTCAAAGGCGTAAAAGTTCAATAAATGTGAAACAGGCAACAGCTCTAAGTGTGAACGCCAGCTGCAGCTAGGGCTGGAGAGTACTTGTAAAATTCGGTTAATAAAATCAACTTAATTATAACAACGGCAATAAAAACAAGTGGAGTTGGAAGCACTCTCTGCACGGCCAAGAGATGCCCTATAAAATGAAATATATTTTTGAAAATTTGCGAGGAAGACTAAAACGATGAATTTTAAGTTGTAATTAGTTTAACTATTACAGAAATATATAATAAAAGCTTATAATTATAATAGCTTGCAATGCGTATACTCTGTTCAACTCATTTTACAGGGTATAGGATGTAGCAAGAAAAGTGGCAAGAAAAGTAACCAACAAAAAAAAGAAGAGCTGAAAGTTTTCTCTTGTAGCTTTTGTTTTCCTAATGAGCACCGACAACAACACCAACACTAACACCAACAACAACAGCAACAACAAGAGCAATCATAGCAACAGCAACAACAATTTTCATAAACTTGCCAAATGAATTTAGTTAAAAACAGACACAAGTCGCCTTGACAGCAGAGTGTGGGCGTAATGTGGGCGTGCATCTTCGTGTGTAGTTGTGTGTTTGTGTGTGTGTTAGTGGCTGTTGCGCATATGCTGCGTAGCGTAAGCACGTTAACGTTGTTAAAGTTACGTTTTGCTAACTGGGTAAACAGCAACAGCAGCTGCCACAGTTGCCACGACGCGTCGCATCGTTCAACAAAGCGGATGATAAGGGAAACGGAAGTTGCTTACAACAGTTAGAACAACAAATCTTATATTCAGCAAGTGCACGGCGACAAAGCCAGGGGCGAAGGGGCGATGGGCGAGGGCCAAACGAATAAGACTAACATCTTAAGGGCAAACACTTTAAAATCTGCTATTCCACTTTGAAGTGCAGGCAGTTAAAGAAACTCTAGCAGAAACAAGTTGAGAGCTACAAAAGCTGCATTGAAGCGTAGCGAAGTGAGCGGGTGAGAAGGGAGTGAGAGGCTAAACACTTATGGACTTAGAGAACAGATTAGTTAAACTTGCCAAATCAAATAAAGCGTACTTTACGAAAGTCGTCTCTTAGCTATATAGATGCATAGAGATATATTAAAGTCTAGTTTAATTCCAGAGAATCCTGCGCAGCCAATAGCTGACTAAATTCCATCATAAAAATGTTTATTTAATTTCGTGTCAAATGATGCCTAACAAACACAACAAATATTTGTTCATGTGTATTTCCGCTTTAACCGCAGATTAAAATTAACCTTTTTTAGCCACAGCTAACGGATATCTATATAAATATATATATATAAGAGAGAGAGAGAGAGACAGAGAAAGAGCGATGCATAAGCGTGTGTGACTGCAAATTTTAATATTCGTTTAAATGCACAATAAAAATATTTTTAAATATATATAATTTTATTTTTTTGCAATTTTTTATTGCAGCTTTATTTTGTGTGGCACCTCATAAAAATGAAACGTTTTAAATATTTGTTTATTGTGTTTTATAATTTTTATACCCTGAACCCATTGAAAATGGGAAATCAGGCTATAATGGTTTTGTGAAAAAGTATGTAACGGGCAGAAGGAGGCGTGGCAGACCCCACAAAGTATATATATTCTTGATCAGCGTGACGAGCTGAGTCGATATAGCCCTGTCCGTCTGTCCGTCCGTCCGTCCGTCCGTCCGTATGAGTGCGTCGATCTCAGAAGTTATAAGAGCTAGAGAGCTGAAATTTGGCATGCATATTCGTGTGTACCATACGCAGTACGAGTTTGCTTTATTTTTTCGATAAATCATCCGATAACTTTTTTATCGAGAATAATCGAAAAATTGATTTTGTTTTTTCAGCCTAATTTAAACACTTTTAGACCTGGAGTCTTCAAATTTGCGTTGTATATAAAGTTAATTGATACAAAGATTTTGTAATTTACAGATTTTGGATACCACGCCCCCTTCTCCCCCAATTTGTAAAAAACGCATACTAGAGACTTGTGCTTTGGAATGTACACATATATTCACCATATGATTACACTCTAAAATTTTCATTATGATCGTATGTCTACAAAAGAAATTATTCAACAAATAAATTCTCATAATATTGCCCACACTGCAGCGCAGCCCAAGCGCAGTCGCTGCTTACTGCGCAGCTAGCAGAGCGCAGGCTTGTGCGTGCGTGTGGATGCATGTGTATGTATGTGTGCATAAAAGAAGTGCAGAATGATTAGAATATCAGCTTGGAGGGTTCAGGGTATCTCCTAGTCGAGCAGTCTCGACTGGAGCCTTCTTACTTGTTTAAGCTCTTTTTATGTGTTGACACACACTGTCTGCATTTAATTAAGTTTTGTCGGTTTGAAGTTCCATACCAACTCTCATTACATTATATACATATATATATGTATATGCACGTACATATATGTATATGTCGCATGTCTCTGCTTCGCAGATAGCCTGTCATAATGGCAAAGTGTATTTGTTTTTGCTCTTCAACATTTCTGATCATAAATATTTGATGGCATATTCAATTCAATATATATATAAACATTTTTTATCATCATTTTCCGCCATATATATTTGATATGATAAGCTATTTAAATACTTGCTTTGTGTGTGTGTGTGTGTGTGTGTGTTGGCTGATGCATGAAAAACTGTTGAAATATGCTTAATCGGTTTTGCAAAGGACTTTATTTAATTCATTAAATTATTTAAATACAGCAAGTGCAGCTTACATAATTTTTAAGAAATGTAATAATTTAATCAATTTCCTCAAAACGTCAATAAAAGGATGATAATTGTTTATATTTAGTATATAATTATATAATATAATTAATCAAGCTTAAAAAAAAAAATAATAATAATAATAAATCATGAAAAATAGTCATAAAAGTTAAATTGCTGAAGGGCTTGAGATGCGGGACTTGAAGAGAAGGCTAAGATGAAGCCAACCTTGTATTAGAATTTATATTGAATATATATTTTATATTTTATATGAATATGTGTATAATGAGCACCATTTATAAATATTAAAAAAAAGTAAAATAAAAGAGTAAATAAGTAAACCCGAAACAATTACAACTAATCAATATAAAGAAAGCCTATTAGACTTAGGGTCTTATTAGATTCCAGAGCTGAAAGCTAAGAGATAATTTAAATATACTCTCATCTATAAATGCTCATCTCAAACCGCTCTAAAAAACTATATACCCAAATATGCTGCCCATAAGACTGACCATCGACTTGAATCAGAGTCGCATTTATAAGACAGCCCATAATAGATGATCACGCATGAACATATGAATATACGAAGATCGTATACATGCCTCCAACGCACTCTACGACTGGCAGGTAGTGCGCTAGGAAAAGATAAGGGTCACATGTACAGACTCTATAAATACGCAACTAAACACCATCATAGTCAAGTGTATTCGTTCAATAGATCCTCTTTATAGGCAACTCAATTATTTCATTTCTCTTTCTCTTATTGCTCTACCCTATAGATCCCCTCTCTATGTAAATTGAAACCCATTGGATTGTCTCTCAAAGAGTACTGCGCTTTATTGTTAGTTCTCAACATATTCAAATGTTTGTCAGTGGCTTGCTTGTGTCAATTATTACAATTTCTTAAATTGCGATTAGATATAGGATATTCATATTGATTAAATATATGTATGTGCACGCCTGCGAATAGAAGCGCGTCTTTTTGATTAATTTATAGATAGTATATAGATTCCACTTGGCGACTTATAGCCTGGCTTTCATTTCCTCCAGCATGCGGTAGACTCGCACGAACTTCTTCTCCACCAGCTCTGTGAAGGCCTTGATCTCATTCCGTACTATGGACAGCTCCAATGCAGCTTCCGAGTTGCTGCCGTCGCATCTCTTGGATGTTTTGTCGCTCTCATACCAACAGGCGATGCCATCGACATAATCGTCGACCAATTCAGGTGCCGTAATGTCCTCCATAAAGGAAATATCCCGCTTCTTAACAAACGAACTCATCAGCAGCTGCAGAAAGTCGCAATTCCAATTGTTCTGCTGAAAGTAGAAATACTGCAGAGCCTTCAGGCTGTCGAAGATCGTGATCTTCAGCGAGTAGAGGCTGTTGGCCGAGATGTCCAGCACTTGCAGCTGGCTCTGCTTCTTGAACAGATCCTCGGCCAGCTCGTGCATGTTGGTGGCCGACAAATTGAGACGCAGCAGTGCTGTATAGCGACGCAAGGGATTGCCCGGCAAGTTGCCCAGGGGATTGAGCGACAAATCCAGGCCGGTCACATTGCTGGCCAACGGTATGTGAGGCAGCTCCCGCAGGGAATTGTTATGCAGATCCAGGTCCCGGATGATGCCGTACACGGTGAGGCGCCGCAAATCGCAGCTGTGGGCCAGCACCTGCTCCAGCAGCGAGAAGTTCAAGGTGAGCTCATTCAATATGTTGCCCGAGATGTCCAGCAGGGAGAGACGTGGCTGCAGCTTCAACAGCTCCGACTCGAACACCGTGAAGCGATTGGAGGCTAAACTGAGACGCGTTAAATTCAAATTCTTGTCAAAAATACCGCGCGGCAGCACAGACAGCCGATTGCCCGCCAAATTCAAGTCCAACAATTTACGCAACAGCCCAAATACACCCAGAGGCAGCTGCTCCAGCTGATTGTAGGCCAGCGACAGCTCCTTCAGCTCCTTGAGCGGATGAAAGCTGTGGTTGTGCAGCGCTCTGATCAGATTATGATTTAAGTGCAGCGTTGCCAAATTGTCAGCGCCCAGAAATATATTCTTGGGTATCTCCTTCAGCCGATTGTTGCCCAAGAAGAGGCTCATCAGATTGCTGGCGCCCTCGAACTGCGGCTTCTCGAACGTATCCAGCGAGCAGTTCTCCATGCGCAGCATCTGCAGATCGGGAAACGTGTCGAACATCAGATGCGGTATTTTGGCAATGCTCGAATTGATGAAGGTCAGCATCGATTGCATGGTGATGGCTGTCGGCGAGATGATCACGTAGTCGTTGCGTCCAATATCGATGCCCGTGCAAATGCCGGCCGTGCAGTGATCCTGCAGCCGGATGCGACGCAGCTGACCACCAGCACCGCCGCTGGCCTCAGCGAACGCTGGCCGCTCCAAAAGCAACGGCAGCAGCGACTGCACCAGCAACAGCAGCGGCAGCTGTGGCAGCCACATCCCGTTCCACGTAGGACTCCGATCAACTTCAATCAGAGAGTCGCGTCTCAACTAGCTGGCATGCGTCCAAGCGACGCGCACGCCACGGCGCAACTGGCTCAACTGTTTGCAACTGTTTGTTCGATTCGTTTTCGTGGACCACAAAAGCTGAATGCGGGCCTTCAATTATCGCACAGCCAATGGCAGCCAAAGGGGCTGCAACCCCATGCCGTGTGTCCAAACTCTTGAATGCCCAAATACATTGCTTTTGATTTAATTCAATTAAATGCAGCACATACGCTTTGTTTTCGAACTAGGTTTTATGTAGCACAATATATATATATATATATATATATATATATATATATATATATATATATATATATATATAAATCTATATATACATTTTTTAGCATATGTAAAGATCACATGACATTATATATTATGTTTGCATCAGTTCTAGTTAAACTTTCCATTTCATTCCCAGCTTACTCTATGCTAAACTAGACATTGTATATCTGTATATACATACATATCTGAACTTTTATATATATATGTTATTTATTTATTTTTTTTGTAGTAATTTTTTTTTTTTTCTATTGTCTGCCTGATGAAAATGAATGTTTTTTAAAGTAGGAAATACCAAAATGCTCGAAAAAAAAGGGGTTGAGCCCCGATTAGTTGAACTAAATATTATGAAATTCCATTTGAATTATAGCTTGAGCTATTTTTATAGCTAACAACAGTTTTTATTTTATATTAAACTACAAAGACCAACAATGCAAAGTGAAATGTTAGGGAATCTCACATCTTCAAATAAATAATGCTTTATGTTTTCAGATTTTCGATACTTGAATATTTATAGATTACTCATTCAGCAAATTAGCGCTAAAGCACCTGTGACTCATTAATCCCGATCTGTAAGAAGATATACGAATTACTAGATTTCAGTAGAAGTCATGAGGAACCTGTTTAGGAAAGGGCCAGCTGACCCAGTTAACACATGGAGCGCTTGCTTAGGCAGTTCAGCTTGATTAACTGGCCAATAAAGAGTTTACTGAACCTTAAATCAAAGACAAATTAATGTGATTTAAGTGTGTGCAAAAAAAATTGTAGCCAAGTCAAAACAGAGGGTTTCCAAGAACCAATTGATAAAATCTATTGAGGAACAGTTAGTATAAAAGAGCCAGACTCACAACATCATTAAAACAGTATACCGAGATGACAGTCAGCGCTAAGATATTAGGTGAGAAACTCTTTAAAATATTTTGTAGGGAGAGTTGCTTCCTAACACGATCCCCATTCCAGTTTTGTGCCTGTGCCTGGGTCTAGCTCAGGCGCGTCTACGTCTCGTGCAAGCCATGGGCCGCAGCAGCGATTCGGAGACCAATCGAGAAGAAGGTGTTCCACAACTTGTGCTTTTCGCGCCCGGTGAGCCGCTCAAGCCGGAGAACCAGAATGAGCCCAGCCTCCATGAGCTGCAGATTATCGAGCCGGAGCCTGAGAAGGATGGCCGCAAGGTGCCGGACTATCTGTACTCCAATGCGATACCCATGCTGAACGAGCCCAACATCAAGTATCGACTGCCTCAGCTAACAGCTTTCCCCCTCGCCTACGCACCGCAAATTGCCAGCAATCAAATTAGAACTTCCCCGAGCAACAACAAAGTCGTGTTAGATGGAAGCTCATATGTATTGGTGCCACGCATCCAACTGGGCTTCAACATGCAGAGCCAAGCAGGTCTCAGCTTGCCTGGCTTCAATCTGTTTCCCGGCACACAGCCCAACGAACCAGTCGAACAGAAGGAACAGCAAGCCACTTACATTCCGATTCCAGTGCCCGGGCCACCTGGACCACCTGGACCCCCGGGTCCACCGGGTCCACCAGGTCCACCCGGACCACGTGGCTTCACCGGTGCAACAGGACCACGCGGCAGGGATGCGCCACGCACCTCCTCCAGCAGCTCGTCCCCTTCGGCACAGCAGAACCCACAAAGCCTTTGGTATGCCCAGAGCAGCAGCAATATCAATAGCAACAATAAGCAGCCGTATGAACATTACTCGAGTGGCTATCAAAACTGAAGAGCATTAAAATAAAATGAACATTTCAACTATATAAATTGCGTTTGTTTTTTAGGTTATGCTGGTTGAGCAATTTTAAGGTACTTGACTTTAAGCCTCTTATTGCTGCCTACAAACAAGACTTGGCCAATTCAATTTTGCATTTTATTCATTATTTATATACATACATATCTATATAGTTATTTACTTATGCTCTGTTAGTCTCTCTCACTCTTTTTCTACCATTGCTCACACTCTTTCACTATCGCTTTGCTCAGTCTAAGTACAGTCGCACTTTTATTTCATTCCATTCATAGAATTTTATATGGTTACCATATAACTGTATATATATTATGTGATTTGCTGCGTTGCTCAGACAATAACGTGTCAATCTGAATGCTATACAAGCATACACACACACACACACGCACGCCTACAGCACGTACGCACACTAACACATTATGATGATTGTGTGTAATTTACATAGATTTTGATAGCGCTTGACGGGGGAGCACACGAACTGTCCTCTTTTTGCTTTTTCTATTTTTTTTTTTTTATTTATTTTTTTTTTTTTTTTGTGGGTCTCCCATTGACGGCCATTCAATTGGCGACAGTTGATGGTTCACTCATGTTGCTGCTGTTATTGTTGTTGTGTGCCACCTGACTGGAACTGCTCTTTCACTGTATCTGTCTCTCTCTCTTTTTCTCTCTCTCGCTCTCTGTTTCACTCACTCCCTCTGCAGCATCCTCTGTGACAAACACACACGCAGTAATGTTATTAAGTGAGCACACTATACTAGCACCTACACACACCTAAACGCACACTCACAGCCACACACACACACACCCACATACTCACACCCACACAGTGACACCTAACTGCTCATGTTTCATTCGTTTGTCGTTTGGGGTTGCCTGTCGCCTGCCCCGTTGATGATGGCAACAATCTGTGGCAGAGTCGCATCTTATTGTAGTCGTTAGTTTTTATTGCTCTTTACTACACAGCATTTACAATAGTAGTACATGCAATTCTATGTGTGTGTGTGTGTTGTTGTTGTAGTTATCATTGCTGTTGTTGCTGCAGATCCGTTTACTTAAATTGATACGCAGCACGCATTTTTTTCAATTAAATGAAAATGTTTTATGTCCAACAAAGCTTCGCTCGCATTTACAACTGTAAACACACACAGGAAAGGCACTTTTCACCATCCGGAGGTGTGTGTGTGTGCTAGTGTGAAATTTATATGTTTCTAATTGCGTTAAATATCCCAGAGTTTAGTTGCTCTACAAAAATGAAAATAAATCTTGTTTCTCTTTCTCTAAAAACAATATATGCAAATAAAAAACCAAAGTGTAAAAGTCTTTAAATTTATAGACAAATTTATATATATGTTATACATGAGAGTGAACAAATTAACTTGGGAAATATTAGCAAATGCTAATTGACAGCTCCACTTTATGTTTTTATAAGAAATATTAAAAATATATTACGAACAAATTATATTAAAAACAGTGATATCATATTCAATGCCAACCCATTTCTTATGCATACAAGAACCGGAAAAAGCGGATTTCATGCAAAAAGATGCGCAATCAGCATATAAATTTTGTTTTTGTAGGTCACAGCGCTTACACACGGAGCCTCGACTTAGGGAAACCAATTCTTAAGTGCTTATGTTACATTGCAAATTTTGTTTCTTAACGAAATCAGCCACGCCCGTCCCCCTGCCACGCCAGCCGAAATTCCAGCATGCGGATGAGGTGGGCACAGCTGTAAAACACATTCCTTATCTGTTAATGTGATGCAAGCGAGGCAAGACTTAAGCCGAAGCGAGAGCAGTTGAAGATGACAGCAAACTCACAAAAGACAGGCATGATAAACAAGATGAGAGCAGGCCGAAGTTGCGGCGGAACAGAAAGAAAATAAATGAAAATGGAAAAATGGAACAACTCAAAAGCGGTAAATAAATTATATAAACGAAACGCACATGTCAAAATAAAGCAGAAATATACATATGTGTTTCGCATATGTATAATAAAATATTAAATTGAGCTCGAGTCGTGACAACATAATTTCCATATGGAAAGCTCATCATGACTTACTCTAAAAAAAAATAACCTTAAAAAAGTTATGCAATTATATGTGAAGTAATACATAGCCCATGAATACATAACAATGACTGCGCTATAGAGTCTAAGACAGAAGCCGCAATAAATTAATTCTTAATAAAAAAAAAAAAAAAAACAAGTAAGAAAGCTCTAGTCGAGACTGCTCGACTACGAGATCCCCTGAACCCTTGGAGCAATAGATATTTCAATACTTTTTCGCGACTTTCAGCTTACACAAGAAACACGCACACACACACGCACGTACGCACACACAGGCATACATACACACACACGCATACAGACACACATACACACACACACGCATACATACACAAACGCATACACACACACATACACACACACATACACAAACACATACACACACAAGCAACCACGCATAAACACGCATGGGCTGCAGTGTGCGCTTACTATGAGAACTTAATTGTTTAATAACTTTTTTTATGGACGTACGATCTTCGTGAAACTTTTAGATTATGATTATAACATGAATATGCATGTAATTGCCAAAGCACAAGTCTCTAGTATTTGAAATACGCTTTTTACAAAAGTGAGGGTGAGGGGGTGAATTTAGAGGTGGGGGGTAAATTTTAACAAAAACCGAAATTGTATAAATTGCATATAAGCATACATTAAAAATTTGGAGACTCTAGCAATAAAGGTGTAGAAGATATAATTTTATAACTGGGTTTCGATAAGGTTTTTTATCGATAAAAAAAGATCGAGATGAGTTATCGATTTTTAATGATAAACTTGATATGCGCGCTGTAATTACGGACATTTTAAAAAAAAATTTGAAGTCTCTAGCTCTTATATCTTCTGAAATCGACGCGTTCATACATACGGACAGACGGACAGACGGACAGACGGACAGACAGACGGACAGGGCCAAATCAACTCAGCTCGTCACCCTGATCAAGAATATATATACTTTGTGGGGTCTGCCACGCCTCCTTCTCCCTGTTACATACATTTCAACAAAACCATTATACCCTGATTTCCCATTGAAAATGGGTTCAGGGTATAAAAAAAAAAAAACATAATTAAACATAATTAGGTCGAACTTTTTAGGTCTAATAACTATAGGTTTACCTCTCTATATGCATTGTAATTTATTATTATAAATGACTCCATGACATAACAACAAGCTATGAAAAAAGTATAAAACAAATCAAATCTAAACTTGTAAATGAATAGAGAATGCACTGTAAAATTTATATTCGACATTTTAGATATGCTAAATCCTCTAATAATGAGACTGAAGTTAAAGACCAAGCTGTAGAAGTAAGAATCCCAGTTTACAATCTAAAGTTTTAACCAGAGAACAAAGTTACTATAGTCACATCAAAGGCATGCGCTTGGCCAACTTGAAGCATATACCTTATATACTCATATTCCCTCTTTGAACAGGGTATTGTAGGGATATCTAATTCACATTCCTGGCTCTTTATCTGTATACTCCTCCTTACGCATTAAAAGCCAACGGCGCAATGTTACTTTGCTGTTGTTTATTTTCTTGTTTTTATCTTTATTTTGTTGTTGCGCTCTCGCTTCGGTGTGGATTAAGTTAAAATGTTAATAAATATGATTATCATATCGTTTTTCTCGCCGTTGCCAGTGCTGCCATTAACATGATTATGGCAATAAATAATAAAGTGCTTGCCACACTTTCTCCCTTCCACTTCCCACTTGGTTGTGAAGCAATCCGAGTAAAGGCAGTTTTCGGTTACTCAACTCAATTTATGCTAACTCGAAAAAATACCAAAATACGCGGAAAATTGTCACAGCTAAGCTTCAGCTACGCAAATAAATTGTTGCTTTGATGTTTGTGTGACACGTGGCGTATACGCAATGTTAACACTGAATTCTTTTTTTTTTTTTTTTTTTTTTTTTTTTGCATCAAACATCAAACAGCTGGAGAATTTCCCATTACATTTTTGTACTCAAACGGTTTAAGTAGATCATGGAGAAATTTGCCAATTTTACAACAAGGCAAACAAAAAGTTTTCAATATTACATATTGTGAATGAATTTACATTTTATAAAAATACAAATAAAATAAAATAATAAAAAAATATAAATATTTTGTATTCATATTAAATAAAATTTGGAATTTTCTAATCAAAAACAAAATTCCCAAAAAAAAAATTTCCAGACAAAAAATCCTTATGAAGAAAATAATCCTACCATTAGAGATATAAATATTAATATTAATATTCACTAAAAGTTTGTATTAAAGCCAAGCGACAGTAGTTGGTATGACAGTAGCTGTCATAAAAAACTGTGCTTAATTGTTTAACGGCATAATGTGAACAGGATGGGAAGGCTGCCAATGCAAATAGCCTGGCAAGGCGGGTTAGTTGAGGGCGTGGCAGGAACTGGAATTAAAACAAAAGTTACCCGTAATTTGCAGTTTGCCAAGTCAGCGAAATGAACATTGGCCGGAATTGCGCCGTTTTGCGTACATAAAATATAGTCGGAACAAAAGGAGACGGACATATATATATGCATAGAGTGAGCGAATGAGAGAGAGAGAGAGAATGAGAGAGGCCCAGAGAAATAAATAAATAATAGAGACTAATGCCTGGCACAAAGATAATAGGATAAGGCAGCAGACGGCAAATGCAACAAGAGAGAAAACGTCGCCATTTTGATGCCAGCTTTTCTTCCACGCCCCTGCCCCGCCCCTATTTTCCACCATTTCGCTCTTTTGTTTTATTTTATGGTTGCACTTGCACATTTTATGAAGCGTATTTCGCTCTCGCAAAATAAGCAAATCATTTCGCTGAATTCAATTCACAATATATAACTGTATACATATACATTATATACTGTAAATCGATGTGATGCCCATTTTATTATTATTTATTCAGCGCACTCTCACTTTCGATTGTCATGAAACGCAACTCCAGTGCGCCTATTTATCAATTTTTAATGCCAAGCGCATCACAGTTCTTAAATGTTCTCTCAAGCAAGTCCCCGGAGTATGGCATACTTTTGGGCATGTTTTGCCACCAGTTCATTAAGGTGATTTATGAGCTCGCATTTTATGTTAAAACCCAAAAACTTTCACGCTTAAAGCATACTTAAAATCGTTGTCAAAAGTTCTTATTTAATATCAGTTGCCTTCCATGAAATGAGTACTTACAGAGCCCGCGCTTAGGCGCCATTTGATTGTAAAATATTCAACTGTCCGAACTTGCTTACCTGTAAGAGTAGAGAGAAGAGAAGGCGTTAGAATTTATGGCTGTTGTAAATTGAAGCTTGGGTTATTTAATTAAAATACTTTACTACAGTATTTAAGGCAAGCAGAGTCTTTAAGGCGATTCAGCTGAGGCGTACTTTCATATCTGAACCAAGTTTGTATATATTTTAAAATAGTGACTCGCTTCATATTTACACATGTAACTGATATATATGTATATACATATATATATATATATATATCTGAGCACGCTGCTCCAGTAGCGTTTTTTTTTTCAGTTCTCTTTTCTTAAATCTTTCAACTTCCATCGGCTATCCACCGTCTCAGCTCGTTACATCACTTAATTCCTAATTACATTTTATGCTTAGCTTTAGCAAATGCTACCCAAAGCTTTTTGGTTTAGTAATTCGTTTGATTTTTTCTCCTCATACCTGCTATTATCTGGCTTAGCCTCTCGTTTAGGCGGCACGGCTTTTCGTTTAGCTGCAATTATGCGGCACACTAATGACTTTTAATTAACTCTGAGATTTGTATACCTAACGCACATACGCTATAATGCGACTAACTGTTCTTATCTGGGTCATGTTCATGTTCGCTTATGGCGTCGACTAATGCGTGCCCACCTGTAAGTTTTCTGTGTGTCTTTGTATGTGTGCTGGCCAAACGTGTCTGCTGCTCACACATTTACTGCTGCTCCATTAGATAGCATTAGCCATAAAAATAGCCCAAAGCGGCGCCATTTCAAATGCAGGCGCCACTTGGTCTTGGCGAAAGCCAAAAGCTTAATTACACAGCTACACAAACGTACACACACACACATACTGACCAGCAAGTGTGTGCGTGTGTGTGTGTGTGCTTTGAGTCCATTCTTGTTGCCGTGATTATTCATAACTTGGCAGACAGGCTTTTTTATTTATGCGGCCATTTGCACAACTGCCTCGTTGACTTGCTCAGTGTGTGAGTGTGTGGTAGTGTGTGTGTGTGTGTGTGTGTGTGCTATCTAATAGGTGGTAATGTGTGGAA